TTGCTGTTCTAGCTAAATCCTGGACCTGGATAATCCTTCAAATAGCATAAACTAAGTTATTATTAACCATTTAAGAATTGGCAATCCTGCCTTTAACACAGAAATACTTAATAACAAAAGAACCACTACCAATCAGCTCTAGATGCTCTGGTCCACTGATTTTTAAACACATCCTGCTTGATTGCCCGTAATTCATGGAAAATAGAAGATTCCACGGAATCATTAATGGTGATCTCAAAACACTTTTCACCAAGAAAATCTCAATAGTATTAATCTATTTACAAGACATTAAGTTATACAATTTTATTTAAAGTAATATTTCTTGTGTTGGTCATAATCACTAATAACCCAGCGCAGTTGATAAGCTTTTGTGTTTAAATGATAAAAAAAAGAATGACATAACTGTTTTATATAAAGTATTTTGCAGATTGTTTTTATTCTTTTATCTAGTACCTGCACTAAAAAAATATTTTAAAATGTTTATTAAAAGATAATTAGCAAGAAACAAACAAATATTAAGTATGTTGTGTTTCAATTTTATTTCTAGGTGTTTGGGCTTCATATCAATTAAAACAACATTAAGTGACCTTGACCTTGCACGTAATATAGCATCTGCTCTTATATAAGAATAATCAATCAAAAAGAGTAATAATTGCCCAACATTTAAACAATAAAATTGGTGTGTTGCCACCGATTAAAAATCTCAAGTTGTTAATTATTGTTTTTATCAGATAGAAATAAATATTGTTTTAAAATTATTTTTAATATTTAAATGAATATGCTTTATTGAAAAATATTGGACCCTTCACCCTTGCCTTAGCATATATTTATTTAATTCTAGACATTTGAATCTAATTATTTGTGTTATTATATAAGTTTTTATATATTCACCTAGCTTGTTATTTATTCCTTTTCTGTTCAGTTTCTCAGAAATAGTTTCTTTTACCGGTAGTAATAGCTGGACACAACGTCAAGAGTTCCTCAAGGATCGACGTTGGTACCAATACTGTGGAACATCATGTACAAAGTGATATTGGAGTTAAACTTCGGGGAAGGGGTAAAAACATTTCTTTTTGTAGATGATTTAACCATCATAATGGAAGATAATCCAAATTGGGGGACCAGAAAAAGGGAAACAAGGCTCTGAATAAAGTATCCGTATGAGTTAAAAAAATAAATTGGTATTAGCGGGAGAAGACAGAAATGGTCATGCTAAAAAGGAAAAAGAAAGAGGAACTTGATTAGATTTAACCTACATCTTTGGGTTTTGTTACATCTTTAAAGAGAAGAAGGAAAATCTGCATACAGACACCTGTGACTCACACAGATAGTGTTGGGTTCCTAATGCCTTAACGAAGTTGTGCCAGGGCGAAATGCCCATGGGATTTACACCTTTGACACTTCGTCCCGTCACCACTACTGACACTCACAACTAAAAACCTCTCCTCTGTCACACCAGACATCAGGATGGAAGGGCTGGTTAAGGCAAACATCTCTCCTGATGCCCTGCTATCACCCGATTCCCATTTTTTCTCCGACATATTCATCGAGCAACTACATCCGCACGAACCACTGGAGACTTCCCTGCCTTAGCGAGGCTGTCAGCTCTCTCGCGTCGTCTGTCTCTCATTCACTCTTATTTCGACCTGCAACAGTCCGAACCCCACCAAAGTGCTACTCGCTTGTTTTAGAATTCTGTTGCGAGTAAACTCTCCTCTCATTCTTTTGAAAAGAGCAGCTACCTGATAAATTTGTGGATCCGTATCCACCACCATTCATCCCTCATCATTTTTTCCTTCTCGGATTTGGGTCCACCAATATTAGGCATTATCCTCTCCAGCGCAGCCATTCTCTGAATAGCTTTACGGGCCAACCCCCTCAAATGTTCTCTCAACTCCCACCGTGATCCATCCTAAATACTTGACGTAGTTTTTAGGTGTCACTCTCACTCCCTCGCACTCACATTCAACCCTATCTCTCCTTCTGTAGTCTCTGAGTACTACAGACTCCATCTTATCCTCAGCGAGAGAAAGATCATGCTCGCTCATCCAAGCCTCAACTAGGACATATGCACGCGTAATCGAAGCTGGTTTCTCCCTGTCCCGGCCACAATCTACAAGGGATTAGAATTGTACAAAAATAACGAGGTATGGCTTCTCGGATAATTCTTGGTTTATAGAAGCGGAATGGGGCTATGGTTATGGAGTTTTCAAAATCAATTTTGTGACCTGTATGAAGATAGTGTTGACCTAGAGATGATATTAAGTCGGAATTGCGAACAGAAATTGAATGTTCATAAATTCTATTTTGGATTCTCCGATTTGTTTGGCTTATATAGGATCGGGGGCAGTCTGCATAAGGAATGGGGGGTAAATATTCTCTATATTCCTCTTGATTTAAGAATTTTGTCGATTTTCTCAGTAACACCTTTGATGTGAGGAAGAAAAGCTTTCGTGATGAGGGTCTGAGTCTTTGGGTTAAGATTGAGTGTTAAGATGTCTGTGGATGCTCCTATTCATGTGATTTTCGCGGTAACCGTTTTGTATGAGGGCTTGTTTTAAACTAAAGAGCTCAGCGGGTCTACTTGCATCATCGCAAAGACGTATTGATCTGGAGACAAGCTTATTATTGACTGAATTAATTTGTGAAGAGGAATGATGAGAGTTGGCATGCAAGTAAGGATGGGCATGGGTGGGTTTTCGATAAACAGAGTGATGAAAACCTTGAGACTGGTTTTTCTTTTATAATAACGTCGAGAAACAGTAGGGATGAATCAGTTTCCATCTCCATCGTGAACTGTATACTAGGGTGTATACCATTCAGATGGGTTTGAAAAGACACCAAAGTCTCCGCTCCACCCGTCGCTACCCCCACGCTAACCTCCACTCAAACCATGTCATCATCGATGGTATAAATGAACCGTTCTTTATTCCCAGCACGAGTAATGCATTGGTTAGTGATCAGTGTAATAGTGTCTGGAGGCTTTTTTATGTAAAAGATGTCTGAGATAAGAATGTATATCATTGTTTTTGTGGTTAATTATTAACGCATTTATTCAGATGGTTCTTGTCTTTTGGTGATCTCGTCAGCTGCCATATATGTCTTAATATTCGTTTTTCAATAATTTTTTGTTTGATTTTAATGGATAGTTAATGGGTAGGGCGGTTCATTTCCTGGACTGTCGTTGATTCCCATGCAACTTCTTATATGGATTGGTTAAGATAGTCTGTGGCATTGTCAATTCCCAGGTTTGTTTTTAGTGCGACGTTTGGTTTTAATTTATTAGTTAGTAATTCTCTGAATTGTTCTCAGTTTCTGGATTATAACAGAAAACAGAACATAACAAGAAGAAGCTCTCATGTGGTTGTTTGGTGGATTTTCGTGACATGAAAATCTACCAGATCTGGTACTTTATTTGTGTCGTTAGACCAGTATGTAGGTGCATCCGTGGATATGTTTTTAAGATTGTTGTTGTGCATATACATATAAAGTTGTTTTCAAGAAATCTTTAGAACTGACTGTGAATTGTGGTTTATATTATATCGTGGTGGGCAGTAGGTGGCTATTATTGTTAACGGCCCTTCCCAATCTTCAACTCACATGATGGTAGCTTACAAATAGTCTTTAGTGATTATGCTATGCTCGTGATGCGTAGCGTAATTGATTTCTTGATTATGCCTGCATATCCGCAGTGTACCGTACCATTTAGATAATCCGTGCTATATATTACATAATTAGGACATTTTAAATAACTGCGGTTGGTAAAGTGTGTTAAGATATCAGCATCATTTCAATGTTGATTATGGAGGCTTTGACTTCTTGGACATGTTGGATTAGCCCGTTGGCATTCAAGAGTGCCACTTTGAGGAACTTGGTCATTTGGACAGTGTAGTCAAAAGGTTCATCATCGTACTCAATTGTTCAATGAGTCCTTTCATCGTTTGTTTTGCTCGAACATATTTCCTTTTGTTTCGTGTAGTGTCTGGTTTTGACTTACTGTGCGTGTTTTGAGCATTTCTCTGCCGTGTGTTGCTGTGGTTCAAATTTTATCTTGTGGTGAAGTAGAAGCTCTAGATTATATATGGTTTTGTTATTTGGTGCTGGTTTAAGATCAATAAAAAAATGGGTAGTCTAGTTTACGTTGAGAAGTGCATATTTTTAAGTACTACTCGGAAGCTAACGTTCTCCTTTCAGTTTATATGTATTAAATTGTGTGTTCTTGTCTATTAGGGCTTCAGTTATTATCCTATATTTTTCCAGTGCTTCTGGTTGAACTTTGACTTGGTCAAAGCTAAGAACCTTTATTTCGTAGCTATATTTGGCAACTTCGTCCAACAATTTTATTAAAGTAGTGACATTCTTAACTCCACTAATAAACATTGGAGGTGATTTGGGGGTTTTAACTTTTCACTAGCATCTGTCTGTGAATTGTTGTCATTTTCACTCTCTAAATCATTATCTAGACCTTGAAATCTGTTAGAAGTAGTGGTTGGTGAATTTAACCAATAATCATTTATTTTCGTTTACTTCACAGTGCTTTTATCAAGACTTTTTTTGATACTTTTTCTGTTTGGAACTGCTTACCATTTTTTTGTTTGGCTTGATTCATATGTATATTGATTGAGGTTTTGGAGTTATTGGGATATTTGTTGTTGTAGGTATAGAAAAAAAGTTTGGTACATTATCTTGTATCTGTTGTTCAGTGAGCATCTATGGCTGTGCAAATTGCATATGTTGAGGTACATACTGTTTTGTCTGTATCATCATATTTTCAGCTATTGGTGAAATAATTTGGAACGGCTGCATCACGGGCGTAGCTGTGGAGTTCATTTGGATGTTTGCTTATTTATGGTATATTTTCGCCATTAACTCTCAAACTATTGGTTTATTTTTATTTACTTAATTTTATTATCTGCACAATTATTGTTAGATATCACTCTCAATATTCTAAATATATCGTTTTTGGCTATCGTATTTTCTATCTCTATATGTTATTTTAGGAGACAGTAGTGAAATATACCATGTGAGTTTAAAAGGAGATAACTCCATAAAACTATACTGGACGCTAGACTACAGTTCTGAGACAATTTCCTTTGAAATTCATATTCCTCAAGATTACGGTTGGTTCGCTCTTGGATTTTCAGACAGAGGACAACTGTTTCCTGGAGATTATTGCTTACTATGGAAGAATTTGAAAAAGAAAGTGTTTCTAGACGTAAGTCAAATTATTCAGTAAAAAGATTATGATTCTAAAAGAAAGATTTTTAGGATATTTACACAGAAGAAGACGGCGTTGTACATCTCGATGAACAACAAGACTGTAGTAAGTTTAAGATTAGGAGAAAAAAAGACTGTGGTAAAGTTTACATTTGAAAGGCAATTCGATACTTGTGACCATCACGATTATATTATAGAGGTAAGGACAACCATTTTTTTTATGATGTTTTAGCCGGGTAAGAGTTAAGAAGTAAAGATATATATATATATATATATATATATATATATATATATATATATATATATATATATACAGTGTAGGTAAAAGTTTATGGTCGGTATGGTAAAATTTAACAGGATATCTAACGCAGATATGAAATCATATTTTCAGCGAATAGACAAAGATAACAATCATATTTCCCCTTGGTCTCCCCTCCATAAATATTTTTAACACTCATTGCCCATTAGTGAGACGAATAGGTTCCGATCAAAGATATTTCAAACTATAACTAGTTGATTGTTTACCAGTATTCAAATTAGCGAGTACACAAACATATTGGCTATTATCGTTTATGTGTATAAGTATTGAACTGAAAGAACCTAACGAAGGATATATTATTATAACTTGAAAAATAAATTAAACAATACAAATAGTACTTACATTTACATTACACATTATTAAATCGCGAATCGTCTAAATTGACATTTAAAAACAAGTTTTTCCGCTTTTCTTGTTAACCGTGTTCTTCTTTTATTTAAAATTAAACCAGATTTTAAACATGTGTTCACAAGGAAAAGATTTTGTTACAATACTACAATATTTTATGAATATAGTGGTTAAGTTAGGATATACATGGCGATGGTTTTTCCACCACGGTAATGGACAGTTCCAATCTTCGTTCGAAATTTTTTGTGGGTAATATATCATCAGACAAATACATGTCGACTTCTTTTATATCTCTCGATACATGTGTATATTTAGATGAGTCATGTCCAATTAATTCATCAAAAATACACCATGGACTTGAGTCATCTTTATCAGTTTCTTTTTCTTGTATTGGTTGATTTTCAAGATTTACTTAACTTATGCAAAGACTCGTTTCATCCATTTTCCATAAGTAAAGAACCAGCTTTTAAAAAGTTTGCAGGGTGGATTCCTGGATATAAACCGCCAACAAGAAAACATTGTCAGGTTCATTACTTCAGGAATGTTATGTCAAAACATTCCTGATTTGATAATAGATAAAATAAAAAGTCCTTTTTTCGACCATTCTGCAAAAAACACATTTAAAAAAAAGATTTAAAGGGATAGAACAGAGTGGCACATTGTCATTTAATTTTTACTTAATTGTCACTTAATTTTTACAGTTTTCTTTGACTTTATCACTTTCTGTAATGTATGTGTTTTTGCATATCAGCTTATTCTTTTTTGAAATAGGTACCTTGTGGAGTCATCCTGTAAGCTTTCGACTTTTATCGTTGTGGTGTATTCTGGTGTTTTGTTTTTGCTGCTGATGTTAGTGCTCTTACATCCAAGATTTAAGAGGGGTGAAACTCTCTTTTCGACAGAATATAGTCTATCATAGATATTTGTCCTCTACTGTTTTTAAAAGTGTATTTGTATTGTTCTTTGTGAGGTCAGTAGGTCTCGGTTTTCATTTCTGATATGTTCATTGTATCGCTGTTTTATTCCTGGAACTATATCATTGTCAACACTGGTATTCAAATCATCCATAATGATTATATATTTATCATTTGGGGTCTGGTTTATTACAGTTTGAAGGTGTTCGTAGAAGTTTTCCTTGTGGTGGTATACCAGTTTAAACTCATGCTGGTAAAAGTTGCTTCCTTAATAAAAAATCTGTCAGCATTATGATTAAGAACATGTTGGCAGAACTATAATTATCACGGAAAATCTCTTGGAAGCAAATTTTGAAAGTAAATAAAATTATTAAGGTGAAAGGTATACTTTTTAGAATATTGATAATCGGCTACAGTAACACTAAATTTATAAGGTTTTTGTGATTTGGTATTTTTTGTGACTGCATATAGCAATTCATAACATCTGGCTTGTGCCAAAATTTTTTTGTGCTTTTCTTTTTTTCTTTCTGATGTTGGGAATCACTTTTCTTACTAAACCCAGTTTAATAAGAAAAGTGAATTGGACCTGGTTTATTAAGAAAAGAAATTTGGATACTTATTACGTTTAGGTGTATGGGTATGGAGTTATTCCATGCAACTTACTGAATGTGTTTACCAAGAATTCGTTTGTTCATCAAGTTTATCTGTAGTTTTTGCTAAGACGAACAAATTTATTATTTCTTCTAAGTGACGCTGAAAAATTCACTAATCTCGTAGTCTTAGTTTAAGAGGTGGCATTTTTTGATAAAAAAATATAGGTATAGAAATGAATGGTCAAATTGGTAAAGAGTTGATATTTTTTGAATATAATATACGTTAATTATAGGAGGGAACAACTCATGTCGTATGGTCTAGAGGACAACACACACTCTATAAAGCAAACGGTGTTAACATAACATCGTCTCATGAAGACTCAGGCATGGTAAGAGTTAACTTATTAAAAAATACTAAAGCGAACTACAAACTACCGTCTCATGTGAACATTTTTGATTTGTTAAATGACAATGTTAAAGTACCTGCTGAAGAAACAACTTACTGGTGTCGTGTTGTTAAACTACCAGAAGAATATAGGAAAAAGCATCATATTTATCAGGTGAGTTGAATGTTTTGCTTTACTATTTTAAAAGATATATTAGTCATCATAATACATCACAGGAAATATGAGAGACTATTAAACATTATGTAACAACACCAATTAATCTCCCAATGCTAAATAATCCTGTGAAACAGAAACAGTAGATAACAGATTAAACCCTTAAAATAATTGTTAGGCCGTTGTCTTCTGAGATTATTTCTCAACATTTTGCCAACATTGTGGTTGGCATCTTCTGGAGATGTTACTGCTTCGACTTTAAGCTGAAACTGACACCGCGTTATAAAATAAAAATAAAATAAAAATAAAAATAAAAACGTATATTGCCCTAATAATATTTACATGTCAAACTTAAAAATGTTAGCCTTCTTTCTTCCTGATGTCCCGCTTTTGCACCATCTTCTTCTGATTTGTTTCCCTCTCGGCATCCTGGACTTCTCTGGGTGGTTTCCTCGTCTTTTTCTGTAGGTACTTTTTATGGCATCGTACCTACTTCCCTGCTTGGCTGTTTTCCGGCAACCATCCGGCTAGACCCTGATCAGGTGGTCGATCAGTCTGTGAGTTTGTCTATGTATCCTCTGGATCCTGTTCTTCTCGAGGATATCTCTGGTCTTATGGAGTCTTCTTGTGGCCTGGTGGAAGAAGTATCTTGTCCTGTTCTCAGCCACCTCCCTCAGTGGTGTGTACTGGAGCCTTTCTTTGATGGTTGCGTTCGTTATTCTCTGTTCCCATGGTGAACCTTCGATAATCCGGTAGCACGATGTCTCTGTAGTTTCGAGTTTCTTCCAGTGGGTCTCCGCTATTGAACTCCATACTGGGACTGCATACAACATCACCGACCTAACGTAGGCCTGGTACAACTGAATCTTCTTGGCCTTCGATAGGGGGCTGGACCTGTGAATAAAAGGAAGTATTAGTTTTTTAGCAATATTACCTTTCACCTTAGTTTTTTCTGCATGCATCCGGAAATTAAGTCTTCTGTCGAGGTGGACTCCTAGATATTTGACTGACTCTGCTGCCTGTATCCTGTTTCCTCCTACTGTAATCTCGTTCGGTGGTGGTCTCGTCTCTTGGGTGAACATGATGAATTGTGTCTTCTCCGCGTTGATTTTGATTTTCCATTTTTCGGTGAACTCCGTGATTTTTTCTAAGTGGTTTTCCATATTTCTGATGACTCTTCTGTCGTCTTTTCCGGATGCATACACTGCTGTATCATCTGCATATAGGGCTGTTGAAGTTCTATGATCTGTAGGTAAATCTGAAACAAAAATATTGTAAAGTAATGGAGATAAAATGCTGCCCTGAGGCATTCCTTCCTGGATTTCTTGGATTGTTGACATCTTTTGGTCAGCTGAAACTTGAAAAGTTCTATTAGATAAATAAATATCACAAATATTAATTAAATAGTGCGGAAGTCTAGCTTTGTCCATTTTGAAGATAAGTGCCTTTTTCCAAACCGTGTCGTATGCTTTTTCTATGTCAGTACGGCTAATCCTATTTTTTGTTTCCTGTTGAATTTTATCTTCGTATCGCTGATTATCCTTGCCAGTTGTAGTTCGCAATTTCTTCCTCTTCTAAATCCGAATTGGTCTTCTTGAATTATTCTTCTTCTTTCGGTATGTTTCGTCAGTCTCTTGAAGATGATTTTTTCCAGTATTTTTCCCATCTGTTTCAAGGAGAGAAATAGGCCTGTAATTTTCCGGTCTTCTTCCGTCTTTTCTGGGTTTTAGGAGGGGTATTATCTTCGCATGCTTCCAGTTACTTGGAAAGTGCCCTTTTTCCAAGCAAAATTTGTAGATGTAGTAGAGTTGTACGATTATCTTCTTTGGAAGTTCCTTGAGGGTGATGTTGTGGATTCCTTCATGTCCTGGTGCTCTGCTTCCTTTGAGTCTCCTGATGATTTTTCTTACTTCGTATGGGCTGGTGTAGTCTTCTTCTTCTATTCGGAATTCGTTTCTTCTTTTAATTCTGTTGTATTCGTCGTCTACTTCTTGTCTTGTTCTTGCGTCCGACATGTCTTGATTTTGTCTGTGTGTAGCTGCTAATCTTCTTGCTATTGCATCCACTTTTCCTTGAGTTTCAAAGTGTGTTCCCTCGTCGTCGATGATTTGTGGCATCTTTTGTTTCCCTCTTCTTTTGGTTTTCAGCATTTTCCATACGTTTCCATGTTGTTCTTCGGCCTTCTAATGTTGTTGTACCACTGATTTTCAGTAAGACTACTCAGTCTTACTCTTATTTCTTCAGATAGTGCATCTCCATAATCCTTGAATTCCTGTCTTCTTGTTCTTTGGAATGCTCTTCTGGTCTTATTTCTGTCCCTAATGATGTCCTGAAGTTCCGTCGGGATAATTAGTCCTTTGTTGTTCGTCATTGATTTTGGTACGTTGTCTTCCATGGCTTGTTGTATTTTTCTTGTTAATTACTC